CTCCATTCGCCCGCCACTATTTCTAACTAGCCAGAAATTACTTATATGCTTAAAGCTTTATTTTATCACGTTTTCTGACCGTGCTCTGACCGTGTTTATAAACTTGGTAGGCGTTTGGTGTCGCCTGGACATCGCCATAACCACTAAACCAATACCTAAAAAAACCAACATAAAACCGTACAATTATGCAAGTCACGAGTTTCTCCCTGTTTGCATTGTTTGTAGTCCCATGGGAATTCCCATATTTCCCATGGGACTCCCACCGGGGTTCTAGTCCCACCATGGGAATTCCCAGTAGCCCATGGGAAATGTCAAGGTCTAATCGAAAGGTAAAAATCAAGGTTCTTAGGAAGTAGAGAAAACTGAACGGGCTTTCTAGGCTTAGCGAAGACAGAAGTAAGCCACCGGTAGTAACGATATAAAGAACGGAGGAAAGAAATGAGATTATAGCGTCTCTAGTGAGAATGTGGTGAGTTTATATAGGACTAATACCGCTATCAAATGAGACGTATAAGCCAAAACGATGCCCACTAGCGGCTTAGTGCCCTAAGACTCGGTACTAAAGGACTATAGCAAATGCGTAATATAGCGAATAGAGAGGGTTAAGCCTATTCTAAACGCCTATTCCTGCTCGTAAATATAGCCGTCCTTAGCTATGTGGATAAAGTAAATAGCGTCCAGCGGGAGAGGCGCGTGGAAAATTAGATGCAATAGTCGGGCTGGTTCTACAGAGAGATGTTCAAATAGGATAGCTGTCGACGTGTCGTAGGCTTGGGAAAAGTTGGAGCCTAGGGCGATGGTAAGAAGGAAGGCTTTCCACGCGATGAAGATGGATATTAGGGTCCGCAGGGGACGAGCCTGGTAGGCTGTTGGGGAGGCCATTGGACGTGCAGTGGCGGTCCAACAGAGCCTCGATGAGAGATTAAGACGATTAATTTTCTTTCTATGGCGACATTAAAAGGCGTGGCTGTGAATGTCGATGAAGGAGACGGAGTCATGTTTGGTCTTCGATTGCTTTCTGCCGAGCGGCCCCATTCAAATTTAAATCAGCGGAATGATATCCGTGATGGGCTGGCAAAAGGGAACTGGCAAGTCCACGCCTGCCACAAGAGTCCAATTCTATGTCGAGAGATGGCTACGATTAAGCAGTCTTTTCTTATTTTAGCACGTAACTACACACCAAGTAGGGTAATGGTTGTCGAAGAGCTTTGCTAGCCTCGATGTAAGAATTGGGGCTATGAGATATAGCAATTCCCTCAGAAAAATAGGTAAGGTAGTATCTAACTGTAGCATTTATATATGATAGCTTATATCACTCTCTAGATGTCCACGGGTAGGAGCATTGAAGTCTATCACCGTTGGTATCTAGTATTTGGCTTTGTCTACTCTGTTTGACTCCAGCTTCCTTTCCTCTTTATCTCATCATGCTGCTTTCCATAATGACCCTTTTTGCTTTCTTAACATCTTGTAAAACATATGGTCACTTACATCAAGGTAATATAGAACGTAATGCTCTCTCTGGGGAAGTAAATAGGGTAGCAACATACAAGGCTTGGTCTTTAGCCCACTTTTGCTTCATTGTCACTTCATTGTCACTGCGCTATGAAGCCAGGATTTATGAATAGTGCTCTATCAAGGGCAGAATTACTTTATCATTGCGCAGTCCGCTTTTTTGTATATGGACTTTCAACTTCTCAGTTTTAGGACATGTTCTAACACAAAGTTATCCAGCACCTCATTCAACCCCAGCTTCCACATGATAATAAAAGTCATCCTGGCTAGTCTCATAACACGCTCATTTCAGACTTCACACCAATCAACCAACCGCCCTTCCAAGGTCCATAGAGAGAGGATAGAACCAACATCGAGCACAAACAGGCATTCTACCTCGAACTCCACGGACACAGAATAAACAGTTCTCAAGGCAGACGAGAGAGAGCAATTAGGCTCGTGTGGCATTCACACAAGCTGTTTCAACATGTGCCTATTTGTGGAGACCCACTACTCCAATTGCAAGCATACGTGCTTTGAGCTCTACCTCTTTTGCCGCGAGATCCTGCACCAACTGAACCGTATCAACGATCCGGAGCAGCTTAGAGACTACGCTTTGCCATTTGACCCCGATTGTCCTACCTGTCAGCCATACACAGTCACAAGTGGTTCGATGGCAGAGAGCAACCGCCCACAACAACAGTTTGATCAGAGAGCTCCTTCTATGCAGCAAATTGGCCAACTTCCTCTGCTCAGGTTTCCTCCACCGACTATCGCTCTGCCCGGAGTGTCTATGGAACACACTCATAACCAGAGTCAGCATGGTCCTCAAATGGTTATGCCTGGTCATCAGAATCAACTCTTCAACGGATCGCCTATGCAGTATCCGCATGCTCAGGGCCAGCAACTTTTGAGTCAGCAATCTGCTGCTCAACCACCAATCCCTGGCTTGACATACATTCAGGGTTCTGCGCCCGCTAGTACCATAAAACCAACCACCCTTCGTCCGGATTTGAACTATCTGAGTGCGATTTCGGAGAGTAATATTGTGCACCAGATGATGGATTTAGTGGAGAGTTGTCCTAATTGTACTACAAAAGCAGTGTGATTTCAATGCGTGATTTTGTTAGAGTATGGGTTTGTGGGTTTGTGGCTGGAGATACAAATGCTGGTGATGAACTGACATGTATGCAACCCTGTTGAAGATGATTTAACTGGACGATATTGAAGTTCAAGAAGATAATAGTACCCAAAATACCAACGCCATTGTCAGCTGTACGTAGATATTCGAGCAAATGCGCGATATGAACTGCATATACCTATGACGATGAAACCCCGAAATATTCACAGTGTTGCCTAATACAGAAATCCAACAGAATAGGAAATATGTCAAGTCGTGACTGTCGGTTTAGTGGACAGTGCCACATCCACAATCCTCGACAGATCGCTTCCTGAAGTCTCCATGGTAAGTGTCTAGTCCATCGGTGTGGAAATTCAAGCCTAGGCGATCACCCATCCAGTCGTATGATTGCAAGATTCCAGACTTGGTGTCCTGTAGCAACTTCGTGACGTTGTCGACATCGAGATCAAGATAGTCAGCAAGGAAGTCTCCCACGTCGGTGTTCTCGTTGTTGCCGACCAATGGCCAAGCGTCCTTGGTGGACGACGCGTAGATGTTAACGTCAACGGCTATAACAAAATTAGAATACTATCGTAGGTCACTGCTTGAGACTATCTTACCAGAATGTCCATGAGTAGTCCAGCCGACCTGGGCGCGGCGACTGATCATGTCTGTGAACACATGCTCGGTAGCGACTTGGGGGTCCGGGTGGAGCAAGGCATCTATTTCGTCGTCAGTAGCATCATCGATGCCAAGCCCATCCTTAAGAGTCTTCCGGACCCAAGACTGTTTATCCGAATCCTTGCTGTCCTTCCCCGGCCCAGAAAGATACTCTTTGAGTCGAGCGGCAAGGTATTCACCGGAGTGGCTTGCCTTGTCCAGGACACTCGGAAGCCACAGATACTCAGGGTAGCTCTTGTGCAGCTGTCGTGCTGCGGCAAGACCACCGGTCTCGTGGTCGGATGTGCTCACAATCACACCAGGAGTGGAGTCATTCTTTAGGAACTCGAGTGCGGCAGCAAAGGCCCTGTCATATGCTAGTACCTCGTGGACCTGAGCGGCGGGATCATTGCCATGACCGGCATGGTCGATGCGAGACCCCTCGATCATGACAAAGAACCCTTGCTCACTGTCCTCAGTGGCCTTGCTCAAGGCCTTCAAGGCAGTGCGAGTCATCTCCTCCAAAGAGGGATAGGTATCATTTTGAGTACGACGATCAATCTCGTACGGGATATCCCCGCTAGCGAAGAGGCCTAGCAGCGGTAAAGTGACATTATCACCGCCCTTCAGGCTGTCGAAGCCCGCGCGGTCATCGATATAACCAAACCCGTTCTGAGAAGCAACCTTGACCAAATCATGATCATCACCACGGCAACTGCCATCCTGTGAATTGGGTAAGAAATGGCACCGCCCACCGCCAAGCAGAAGATCTACTACCCGACCGAGAGGGTGTTCTCCAACCTCTTGAGCGGCAATCAGATCTTCGTAGTTCCGCAAATTGGCGTGCGCGGCGAAGCACGCTGGAGTCGCATCCGTCAGGCGGGTGGTCACAACAAGACCTGTCTTATAGCCCGCCAACGCAGCCGCCTCGAGCACAGTCCCACAAGGCGAGTGATCGGGAAGCACTGAGATGGCAGAGTTGTAGCTCTTACGACCACATGAGAAAGCCGTCGCTCCTGCCGCAGAGTCTGTCACCAAGCTAGAGCTTGACCGTGTTCGTGAAGTTCCAATATAGTGTTTATCCAAGACAAGAATGTCGTCGATTGGCAGATCATCCGTGTATTGCCGGAAGCTTCGAGTCAGTGAGAGACTAGTAGGGCCCATGCCGTCGGACACCATGAATATCATGTTCCGCTTGCCCGTCGGCTTGCCTCCAGGGCCCCAGGTCGTATTTGAGGCATGATGGGTGTGAGGTTCCGCTGACTTATGTGGGTAGATCACGGCCAGCACAATTACCAAAATTGTTGCAATAAGGGCCCAGGAAAACGCTCCGATTTCCCGCCAGGAAGGCCAGGCTCGTCGTTTGTCTTGATGGCCCGTTCGCTCCCCAGTCAGAAGAGAGTAGTCCTCCTCTTCATTTCGGATCGACGCGCCATCATCGGAGGACAGGCGGGGAGGTAGGAGGGACTCTTCCCTCGCCATAGCTGGTGGAAAGACAGAGCCGGAAAAGAGTGAAGACAGATATAGAGAGGTCGGGAACTTCGATAGCGACGTTCCAAGGTTGTGCTTGACTCAAAGTGGACCCTTGCGGGCGGAGCTGAGAAGATAAGGATAAGATATCGGCTCACATGATAGGTCACGTTCCTGCATCACACCCCTAGAGGTCGCGTGACATGTAACTATGCAACTTATAAGAACTATGTAAATGTACCATTTCGTACAATGGGGGAATGTAAGGAGCAGAATTGTTTCATTTTCAATCGGGCCGGGCTATATGCTTAAACTATCTATATAATACATGCCATGCTCAAGACGACCTTTGACCCCTAGAGAGGTCGGGCCTTCCACCCAATAGGAATCATGGCAGCGGCAATCTCAGTTACACCGCGCTCCGTGGCAAGCAGATTGAACTGCGCGGCCGCATTCCGGGTATCGAGGATGTCCACCCGAATGCCCAACGAGTTGATGTGACGCTTAGTTTCGGGCGAGAGCGGAAACATCGTGCCACCAACACCTAGAATGAGCATATCTGTGGTGGAACTGTTAGAAAATTGAAGGATGATTTTGTGGTCAAGTTGAAGCATGTCATATCCGTGGATGAAAGCACATATCCGGGATCAAAAATTAAAAGAAGCAAGAATTAACATACCAGGCTTTGGCCAGACTAGATTCAACAACCCCCACACAGACTCATCAAGCTCAAACTGCCCTTTGGAATTGAGCATAGCATCCTTAGCAGCATGATCGTTCTCTGCGCCCTCAACAGCCTTCCACGGCCGCCACGCAAATGCCTCACCGCCGACCAACAACAGCCCATTGCCGTCGGTAAGCTTGACACCATTGTTCAGATGAAATCCAGAATCAAGACATGCATCAATGGCCGTTGTTGGCGCAGGGATGTTGCCCAGCACATTCAACGAATCAAAGTTGGTCTGAGTGTCTTCTTTGGACTCAGGGCCGCGGTCGCGGCTGACGGGTTTGTGCGCGTGCGAGCGAGGAATCATGCGGGCTGGTCGGATCGGTGAGCTATAATTCCGGCGTGTTGAGGGTATTTCGGTGCTAGGATTTGAGACGAAGCATGGTGCTGCGGTTGCTGATGGGATCTGGCAGAATCGAGTCAAGTTCGAGGCGCGACGGGTGTTGACCAGAGAGGTGCGCAAGATGCGCAGGAGTTGCGGCGATGGTGGATGCATTGATGTGATATGTTCGATAGAGCGGCTGGTTCGAGTTGCTTCTGTATTATGTAGCCTCCTAGTGATGTAGTGGCTCGGATAGTGGTTGGTGTCACGTGAAGTAAAGCTTTCTGCGGGTGAGAGCTAGCGGCCCCAAGGCCTGGCATATCGACACGCACTAATGTACCTCTGCATGAGTCTAAACATCTCCCACACACTAACACATAGCAAGGATGTAGAAATAAGAACGGTTGGACATTCTATGGAAACGAGAGTGGTTCTGTGTAGAGTGAGCATGGACCTTGACTTCATCGACTTGGTCTATCAGATATAGATGCAGGCAACTAAGCAACTAGGTATGGTCCACGTTAATTGAATTCTTCTTATATTAATATGGAGCCTATCAATTAATCTATTTTGGTTTTGCAGGAGTCCCATCCCTGACCCTCTGCGCCTGGATTCATATGGAACATGGACAAAGGAGAGACGATAACATCGTACGCGTCGTAAACCCAAAACGCCAACAGAAAGGCAGAGTAATGAAAAAAAAAGAACGATACCTGGGTGAACGAACGAACCGAAAAATGACCGATTACTTGAACAAAGGAATCCACCACCCCTCGAGATGAGACATCAAACTTGATATCATGCTGCCTTCGATCAGTACTGCCTCTGGGTACTTTCTTGTTATGCAAAAACGTATGGACATGTTGAAGGTTAAACAAGAGTCGTTCCCTGTCCCTATTTTAGCGGTTCAGGCCTTGTTGGTTTGGTTGTTTCGGCGACCGAACGACGCTGCGGTCTTCATCAGATTGACTGGAGCTGTCATCGCTTGTGGTGGCAGTGCGGATTCGCTCGGCTAGGACCTGAGCTTCTGCCATAGCCTTTTGGGCGCGGATCTGCTTGCGCCACATGCTGGCGTATCGACCCTTCATAGCCAAAAGTTCTTCATGGGTGCCGCTTTCAGCCACTTGGCCTTCTGACAAGACCAAGATGCGGTCTGCGGTAGTGATGGTGCTGAGACGATGAGCGATCACCAGCATGGTGCGACCCTGCGAAAGAGTGGAAAGTGCCCTCTGGATATGCTCTTCGGTATCTGTGTCTAGAGCTGCGGTAGCCTCATCTAAGAGAATGATGCGCGGGTTCTTAATGATGGTACGAGCGATAGCCACACGTTGCTTCTCGCCACCGCTAAGCCGTAGGCCACGCTCTCCAACCTTGGTGTTGTAGCCATCGGGGAAAGCAAGAATCTTGTCGTGAATGCTGGCGGCGCGGCAAGCCTCGAAAACATCTTCATCGGAAGCGTCCTGGTTGGCGTACTTCAAGTTGTACATCAAAGTCTCGTTGAAAAGTACAGTATCCTGAGGCACCACACCAATGTGCTGGCGGAGTGAATCGATCGTGACATCCTGTACATCATGCCCGTCGATACAGATACGTCCATTCCCGGAGTTGTAGAACCTGAACAAGAGGCGGAAGACGGTGGACTTGCCTCCGCCAGACTCACCAACCAAGGCGGTGGTGGTTCCCGGCTCGCAGTGGAAGGTAAGGCCGTTCAACGCGGGCTTGCGCGAATCGTAAGCAAACTCGACATCCTCGAACTTGATATCACCATTGCACATGGCCAACGGGGTGGCACGGGGGTTATCGACCACA